CTCACCCGGAGTTATTATGGTGAATATTGCACGCCCTTGCCATTAGCACCACAATCATTGGTCGAAAGGCTTTCCCTTTTCCATCAAAGTAATATTCACACATTTCCCTAAGTTCTGCTGTAGATACAAGTAGTTCCTGTAAACAGAACAATGTATTACTTTCAAAGATACATAATCAACTTGGATTACAGGTCAGGAACATGCATTCAAATCCTCTTAGCTAGTTTGGTTTTTCTCCCTCCAATTTATGTTGGAATTGGTTTTAAGACTATTCTTAAGACTATTCCTCATGATAACTTGGGGAAAAAAAGATTAAGAACAGTGAAGTACTCTAGATAGTGGAAACAGAGAGTCATTTTTCTGCTTCCATTAGTTACGTAATGATTTCCTCTTCCCCTTCATTTTAGATTTAGAGGAGATCACATGACAGCAATACACGTAGACTACCAAGAGAAATCTTCCTTCAATTACTTTGCTTAGAGTTTTGGTAAACTTTAAAGGGAACCAGATGGTAGCATTTAACTGTTTTCAATGTCAGAATCACTACATTGTCCTAAAGCATTCACCAAAACTTCCTACCTTTTTAATATCTTCATACAGATTCTTCAAGTCTTTCCGACCAAGTTTAAAAGGGTCCTTGAATTTTTCATCAGTAACTGTTTTACTACAGCTACATGTTCGTGAGGTTGTTGTATGATGAAACCTGGCAACCGTATGATCCAAAAGAATTAAGATGGTTAAAAATGGCTTTTTTTCTGACTTTACACAACAAAAACAATTCATGAAGGCTCTTGCCTCCCCAAAAATACTTTCAGACAGCACAGTGAGACGTTTAGCATGGCTACATGTCAGGATATGTTAAATGTGACACAGATTTTAGAGTGATGTGTAAAATGCAGCATTTGAGAAAATGTGTTCAGTAAACTAGAGAGGACTTTTTTAGCAATGCAATTTTTGTTTTTCTTTCCTTGACAGCCAATTTGCAGGTGTAGTCAAAACCTGTAATTTGGTGTCAACAGAATGACTTTACCATCCCTTTTTTTCTTAAAGAAAGTGGTTTCTATTTTGGAGTTGAATATACTCTACACTCTATGCAGCTAGTCACTCTGGCCAACCATGTCTACATCAAATTCAGTCATCCAGGTAGGACAAAGAGTCAGAGCCTCTTTCTGGATATGCCAGGATCGATAGGGAATGAGCCTAATTTCCTTGAATTTGAGGGTTATACCCACACACTAAGTTTCCTCTATTTCAACCTCAGGACATTACCTGAGCTTTTTTCATTGCTGCAAGTTTTTCCATGATGGGAGCATTTCAGTCTACCTTCATGCCACATCAACAGAAAATGTAATATGACCTATATTAAATTGGTCTTGTACACACTAGGGTGAATAATCTCATTTTACAGTCTGTTTTAATAACCAAAGCATTACAGTTTAAAATCCACAACTTCACATATGCAATCTACCTAATATAATTACTTCTTTACCTACTTCCGTTGTTACCTAGCAATATGGAGCTTCAACTTACCGCAAAAATATACTACGAATTTTTGGAAATGACAAAACTGTACTTCTCCCCAGAAAATAATGCATCTGCAGAAAGAAAACACTACTTTTACTCTAAAATCAAAATTGTTAAATTCAGTGGAACTATATGATCATTAATACTTGTTCATTAATATTTTGTTCCAGTATTTCCTCATATAGATAGAGAGTTGTAAAACCCAGTGCAAAGGTAGTATGGCAATTGTTTCCTTACACGATGTGGTATGTACATATATATAGCCAGTAACTACTTGATAAGCTGACTCCTGCACACAGGAATGCCGAACTTACTCCTTCTAGTCACTAGAAAGAACCAGGGAGGCACCTTTTATCTAACTGATATCTGAAAGCTGTACTAGCAAGACCCAGTTTGTGCACTCAGGGGAGGCACAGTCTCCTTTCAATGGCTCATTATCTTGCAGGTAGATTTGGGTTGAGCTGCCAAAAGACAAGAACTACTGGCATGACCCATGTTGGTATTTCCAGGAACTGCTACACTAATTAAAAAAAAAAAAGAAGTGTGCATCCTCTGCTTTCCCCTAAAGAGGTTTTAATTCAGCATGCCTCCTACCTTAGTCCCTTGTGCACAGAGAGTAAGGCCTGGTCTACACTTGGGAGGGAGGGAAGGGGGAGAAGAGAAGAATCAATCTAAGTTACACAACTTCAGCTACGTGAATAACGTAGCTGAAGTTGATGTACTTAGATCTACTCAATGCGGTGTCTTCACTGCGGTAAGTCGATTGCTGACGCTCCCCCGTCAACTCCGCCTGCGCCACTTGCTCCAGTGGAGTACCGGAGTCAACTGGAGAGCGCTCAGCTGTCGATTTATCGCGTCTTCACTAGACACAACAAATCGACCCCCGCTGGATCGATCACTCTGGAGGTAAGTGTAGACATGCCTAAGAAAGAATACTGCACAGGCTTCAAACCCTCACCATCCACCCATCCTTCCTGGAAAAGTTAAAAGATAAAGAAGTCAGGCCTAGACAAGAAGTGAACATTCAAATCAGCACAATTCCCGCTAAAGATCAAAATACTAATGCCACAGGACTCACTGTGAATCCTGACCCTTCATAAAATCTCGCTAGGGGAGGTACAAGGACAATTCATTGGACATTTGCAGATTACAGTTGCAGCAGCTGGAGCTGCTACTATGACATATCCATGATTTCAGTCTCTTTCAGTGGACAACTGGTGTCCCATTTCCTTGTAAGTGCCACAAAATATCTGATGGGAAAAGGGAAGTTTTGCTCCCCTAGCCTCCCAAATTGCACTTCAGGAACAGTGCATGTAGCTAATTACTTAAGTGTTTTCCTCAAAATGCAGCATGAGACACAGTGACTATTTGGTGGTTTATATGAGAAACTGAGGCACTGAAGGCAATTTTTTATTTTATTTTTTAACCTCAGGTCACACATACCAATCAATCAATACACAGCCAGCATTTCTTAGTGCAGGTCAAGCCAACAACCCGACATTGAGAGATAGATCTAAAACACAACCATAATTTAAAAAAAACAAAAAAAAACAAAAACAACTCTCTCTCATTTGGACTAAAAAAAATGTGAAAACTGTATTTTCTTGCCAAACAAGCTCAAATTATAGGTGATAATGAAAACACTGGTTAATTAGCCTAGCTCTCCTAACACAACTATAGGAAAACCTTTATAGGGTCTTCCCCCCAACAAAACAAGTCCCGACCCCATAAAGACTTTAATTTAGCAGGAGTAGTCTTGTTTCAGGGCATACTAAGGAGGATCAAGGATGAGGGGAAATGAAAATCCCGTATCCCTTTGCAGGGAAAGAAAAGCTGAGAGAAGCTTTTTTCAGGCTGTGATTGGGTGGGACTACTCGTGGGACTATTCGTGCTTAAAGTTTCATATGTATGTTTGCAAGACCGGGACCTTTGTTTTTAAAGTAGTTTAATAGATTAGGCACAAATGTAATCAGTTTTATATTAATTATAGATGTAAGAAATAAATTCCACTTGTTCTGAATGCCAGAAAACAACATTATTTTTTACAGTTTTCTTCTGCATTTCCACCTTTATTGAACTCTGGTCTATCTCAATTTACACATTTAGTTAAAGTGATCAACAGTGTCTTGAGGTATGTCTACACTTATGGTGGCATACAAAGTACAAGACACTGCATGCCCAGCTAGCACGGGTGAGGCACCACTAAAGCGACAAGAATGCAGACATACCTAGAGTATATATATACACACTATGTGAGTCTCTACACACTCAAGCAGTACTTCCCACATCTACACTGCTATTTTTAGCAGCGTAGTGTCCCACTTCCAGAGCCTTGAGTACTGAAAATGCATTAGTCACTTTTTTCGATCAATTTCACTTTCAGGCATTACTACAATTAAGCATATATGCAGTGCAATAATGCAGGGGAATGTTAATTTGTTAACAAATTTATTAATTTTCATTATCTCTCAATACAGATCAATTATAAATAATTCTGTAAGTACAGAAAGACCTACATTTTGGGCCAGAAGTAAAGTAGTAGCAGGAAGCTACTTTCACGTGGAAGGTTTCAGCACATCCATTTTGAGAGCTTTTAGGCCTGGAAGCTATCTGCAGTTCCTTGTAGGTACAATAGAAGCTGTCAGATGACTGACTGGCCAGCATTCTCCCAGAAAAGGTGAGGGCTTGAGATTACCATGTTCTATAAATGTGTTTCACAAACAGCATATTTCTGCACACGTTCACGTGTCTTTTGCTGACTGCAAACATACCCACCACCCTGGTACCCCAGCCCTCACATACCAACCCCCACTCTGAACATCCCTGTCCTCTGTACCGTATAAAACATTAAAATATTCCCTTCCCCTTCTGAACCCCATAGACATGCCATCCATATCCCCTGCACTCCACATGCTCCTCCCTCCTTACCTTGCACTTCATGCCCCCAGCCTACCAGCCCAGTACCCCTTACACCCCATGAGCCCCTTAATCCAGTGCCCCTCGCACCCCATGCCCCTTAACTCGGTGCCCTTCGACCCCCATTCCCCTCGCACCCCCATGCCCCTTAACTCAGTGCCCTTCGCACCCCCACGCCCCACACGCTCCTTAGCCCGGCGCCCCTCCCACCACACGCCCCACCCCGCGCTTCCCATTCATTCCCTGTGACCTCTAGTTGCCCGCAGCCCCGGCTCGCTCACCTCGGCTCCCCCCACGGCCCGGCCCGCCCGGGACCCGGAGCCGAGTCGCGGCCCTTCGGCCTCCAGCAGGCTCCGGAGGGAGCCGAACGCGGGCGCCCGGGAGAAGCAGCAGCGCCGCCACCATAAGGCCATGGCGTCTCCCAGCGATGCTGCCGCCCGCTCCGCCTCCCGGCCCCGCCGCGACCCGGAAACGCTGCTCAGCCGCCCTTTCCCCCGCCGGCCAGGTCCGGGCAGGGCGCAGCCGGGGGAGGGTGGAGCCTCCTTCGGGAAGGGGGTGGCGCCGTGGCGGGGATACGTGGGGAGGGTGAGGAGCAGAGGCAGCCAGGCCCCATCTACAGCCCTTCACCGATGTGCCCTCGGCCCCTGCAGCCAAGGGGGTCCCTGGAAAAAGACACCGCCCAGCCCGGGGTAGGCACAGCCGGGCAGAGCGCCCGCCGCCCGGACCGGGGCACGGACCGGGGAGACGCTCCCCGGCAGGGGCAGACAGATAATTCCCAATCCCAAGTACTCCCTCGGTGTATCAGGACGTAGAAGTGCAGCTAAAGCGTGGCGCTGCAGGCTGCTCCCGGGGCAGGGCTTGTGCCGCCTTCCCGTCTGTGAGCCATCGTGCACCCTGGGCTGTGAATGAGTCACACGCTCTCCGCGGGCGCCTTGCCTGTTTTTGAACTGTGCTGGGTCATGCAGCTGAGCCCGGTGGGATGGTCAGGCCGTCAGGTTTTTTAAATGGTTTTTGAGAACCTTCTGGAGACCAGGCCGTTTCCCGGCACAACCAAGTCACCTGAAAACCAGTGTTGAGCAGTTCTGGAAAATCCTTTCAGAACAATAGGCAACTTGCCACTGTAGAATAGATGGGGCTAGAGAGATGAAGAGGGAGGGAAGAAAATATCTCTAGTTTATGAATTAATATATTAGAAGGGACCATTGTGATCATCTAGTGTGACTTTAATGAGTTGTTTCCTTGATTGAAGGATCTTTCCTGCAGAAGAGCCTCGGTCCATTACTACTGTTTTGACTCCTGGGTCTGTACTGACTGGCAATCTTAGTTTAAAGCAAAGTTCCAGTGTCAGTATGTCCAGGCGCCATGGCGTCCCCTGGTTGCTCACCTGGGTGGTGCTGATCTGGCAGGCTGGATGCTGCCTCCAGGATTCCATAGGAGCAGCGGGGACTTTCAGCCATGTGCGTCCTTTCAGCAATAAATCAAACTTTGACCAAGGTTATTGTGAAAGAAAAAGAAAAACAAATAGTTTTAGTGTGTGGAGCCTTTCTTCAGAAAACCTCATAGGTACATTATATATTGCACAAATATTTTTGTTTGATGGACTGTGCTCTTTGTTAAAATGCTTATTAAATTTGCCTGCAGCTTTATTTGGAAAGAACTGGATTTGGTGGTTAGGGAGAGACAGTGTCAAGCTCATGTACTACTTTTACTACTTTAAAAATTACAAGCAACGTTGGCCACAGCAAGCTATTTACTCCTTTTATCTTTGTATTAGAGATTTGTAGCTGTGTTAAACAATACCACTTATCCAGTGAAGGACCAGGGCTGTCCCCGTTGTGTATTAATGCAAAATTGGGTGTGTTTACAGGATTGTATGCAATAATATACTGTAATATTGAACTGCAGGGGTAACCTACTCAGATACTAAATTGCATGTGATTGTAAAAAACAAAAAACAAAAGTGCACTTTTTGACGGCCACCCAAAACAGATTTTTCAGTGGTGGTATTTGAATAACACTTCTAGAAACAAATTTCAAGAGTTATAAATATTTTATTAACAATCACTGTATATTTTTTGTGAAAATGTCTATTAGGAAATTTAACACAGGTACATTTAGCAAAGGATTGTTAAATTACTGTAGCCAAAATGTTAGATTACTTTTAACGTTAGTTTGTTGTGATAAAACGTGCTATTCTGGCACTTCTGTCTCTAGCCAGCATGGGAAATAGCCCTGCGGGAATATTTGAATTTGGAATGGACAGCTATTCTACAGCAAGCGCCATAGACTGTGGGCCCAGCTATGGTTGCTTTGCACTACACAAAGGAGTCTTACAGTTGGCTAACTGGCTACCTGGGGATCACTCTTGCACAGGGGAATCTCCAGATCAGTATATTGGCTGTGTGTCACCTATGCTTATGGACTCTATAAGGGGCTTCAATTGTGTTGCTTCATTGCATAGGGGACTTTGATTGTGGGGAAAAGAGGGTGTGGTTACACTTGGGGAAATCCTGGCAGCTGAAATGGCCTTTTAGGGTATGTCTACACAGCAAAGAAAAACCCTTGGCTGGCCCATACCAGCCCACTCAGGCTCGCAGGGCTCAGGCTATGGGGCTATTTTATTGCTGTATAGATTTGCAGGTGGGAGGGTCCCAGAGGTTGGGCTGTAGCCCAGTCCCAGGAGTGTACACAGCAATGCAGATGCCACGCAGCCAGAGCCCCACGAGCCCAAGTCAGCTGGCAAGGGCCAGCAATGGGTTTTTCTTGGCTGTGTAGACATACCCTTAGTGGCCATTATGACTGTGTGCAATTTGTAGCAGCCCTGAGGCTGTTCTAAATTGCATGGGGGGGTGGGGGTGGGGGCAAATTGACCACCAGTTGACCCTAGATTTGTTTTGGAGGGTATAAGTAGTATAAACTACTTGTCTGCTCTACACTGTAGACACATGAGGATCCAGCCCTTACTGTCTAAAATATGGATATATTTCAGTTCTGCTGTTTATTTGGCCCGGTGTTGTCTATTTTTATTTTGACTTTAAGGGAAATAATATATCTGTAATAATGTGGTTAATTCATAACATTTTTTAAAAAGTGCATTGGATTTTTTACAGCTACACTGCCTGTTGATACTATTCCAGAAAACTCAATTCGTGAAGTACGAGATTGCATTTTTTCAGTAGCCTATCCTACTCCTTTTAGATCTAGAGTTCTTCTTGTAGCAGTTTCAAAGGTTAGATTTTATTTATTTCTTAGAATATAGTGTTCCTGTTTTATTAATATGTATCTTTAAAATTAATAGAAAATTTTGAACACAAAATGTATTATGTATATAGTGCACCTTCATTTTAGTGGTGTCTCTTATTAACTCAAAGAATAGCGTGAACAAAATCTCACTGCCATCGGAACTTCGGTAACGTTTACATAATTTCTGCTTTTCAGGATGTTCTGGAAGGTATTTTGGACCTTGATGTATCTGTCAAAGAAACAGATGATTTTCTCCAGCTTGTCAGTGGTGGGAAAGTGGTTTTAGGGTCTATTCCTCTGGCCCATAGGTATGGAGGCCATCAGGTAACAATAATACCTGTTTTTCCACTTGATAATATGCATTTATGTGCTAGCCTTAACCATTTGAATTATGTCTTGAGAATCTGTAAAAAACTCAGTGCTCATTGAGGAGGGCTAGATTGTAATTTTACATTCTGTCTTGTGTAAGGGGCAACAGGCAGAAAAGGGAGGGAATTGTAAATCTTGGTTAGTTTCCTCCTGTGAGTAAACCCATTGACTTCAGTAAATCTTCAACTGTAAGCAAACAGTAAGCATGTGCAGGATTAAGATATATGTTAATGATGTCCCAACGTGTAAATGATAGCAAGAAGAAAATGACTTAATTTTTTAAATTTCTTTTCTTGTTAGTTTGGTAGCTGGGCAGGTCAGCTGGGTGATGGAAGAGCCCACTTGATTGGAGTGTACACAAACAGGTACAGCATGCTTTATTTTAAAATGATCGTATAGCTCTTTATGTACCGTAATATTTAGTTGACATGTGGATATCCCAATATGTATCATCGTAAATACTACTGTTGTTTTTGTAGGTATGGTGAGAGATGGGAATTACAGTTGAAAGGTTCAGGAAAAACTCCATATTCAAGGTACAGAACAGTTAATTCACACAGACAGAAGTTTGATGTTTTCTCTACATATTTTAAAACAAAAGACAAAATATTCCCAATCCATTTGTTCTCTGTAGAAATGGTGATGGAAGAGCTGTGCTTCGCTCCTCTGTGCGAGAATTTTTGTGCAGTGAGGCCATGCACTACCTTGGAATTCCTACAAGCAGAGCAGCTAGGTATTACCCATCATTTCTCTTTTGCAACATTCAAGTTTATGGAAACTATGAAGTTGAGTTTTGGGATTGGGCTTTTTTGGCTTGAGCTATGCATCAGTGAAGTGGAGTAGCTAATGTCTTAGAGATTTTTTCTAAATGCAGAGTTCCAACTAGTGCCAAAATATACCCCTCCATTTTTGGAGATTGGTAAAACTGCTTAATGATTGCTAGGTTTGAGAATTTTCATTACGAATTAATTCACTTTTGCCTCTGAAGTTATTTGCAAATACATTTTTGTTGATGCTACTATTTGCTATAACTTTTCTCTGTTATGGGATGAACAGCTGTGCATGGATGCAAGGAAGGGTGAGAGATGGTTGTGTTTTAAAGGGACACCATCAACTTGAAATCTACTCAGTTCTCAAAAATGAGTTAAAATTAATTTGAGAAATGACACCTGCCACTAACTTCCCCTTCCATTGGCTGGTATTAGTATCACAATTTCTATTTAAAAAAAATTTTTTTTACTCTCACCTGTTGCTGTATGAGAGACCTGCACAAGGAGCAGGGTGAACTAACTGACTCAGATCCTGATCCTATAAGTAGTATGCCCACACTTTATGTATATGAGTAGTCAGTGGGACTACTCATGCATAAAATAAGCACCTGTGTAAGTCTTTGCAGGATCAGAGCCTAAATCACTACGCATGGAAAAGGGTGAAAATGACAATCTGCAAATATTATCATATACACAAAGTAAACAAGATGTTTCTGGTTAAAATTGTGACATTTATTTTGTGTTCCAAAATAGAGTTGGTCATGTCTGGGGGCTCATGTGTTTCAGAGTCCACAGAAAGTAAACATTCTGCAGAAAATGCATTGTACTCAGCTGTCACAATGCAAACTCTTGTGGTTTCTGTCCTTGCAGAGTTTTAACACATTTGCTCTGCTGGAGTGCAATGTTTGTAAATAACATGTTGGAAGGTCTGTTCACTCATTTCAACGAAAGGTCCCAAAGTGTCAGTAATTGATGCAAAACCACAAATCTGTGTGGACATCAGTGTGAGAGCCTATGGCAAGGTTATGTCCTTCCTTTACTGTTGTCTTGACAAATTGTTCACTTCAGAGATACTATCAAACATTATTCCTTAACTGTGTTCTAATTCTGCTGTATACAAAATATTCCTTCGCCCACTACACTTGGCAAGTTGGTAAAGTGTCACTGAAATGATTGTATAAGGCTGTTCTGTAGACTCTTTCCACCAGACTTGTTTTATAAAGTTTTCACTTGAAGAAACCCAGCTGATATCCATATTCTTCCCAATAGGGAACTGTTGTCTCAACAATTTTAATTCATTTACAAAGTTCTTGCTGAGTCTTGGCAGAAATGTGGGAAAGGGTCATATAACTCAGCCAAGAAGAGCATCCTACAGGTGGGTTCATGCCGTTAACTTCATGTGCTATGTTCCCAACTGGAAGTTGCAGTCTACATCTGCTGTAGTGCCAGATGAAGAAAATATCTTCATCTGGCACTACTGCAGTCATAGTCTGGGGCTTCTAATTGGGAAAACAACACATTAAGTTAGTGGGGTGAACCCACCTGTAGGGTGATCTTTATTTTTAATAAGGATTCAGGGTGAAATTCATCTTGCCTATATACAGAGTATACAATATACTCAATATTCAGAATGTAGGACAGTGTGTATAAGAAGCCAGAGGAGGCTAAGCTTCCCCAAAGAAGGCTGGCCATGCAGGGAGGAAATCCCATAGATGCGGCGCGAGTCACCCCTCCGTAGGAGTGCCTGCCCACTGCTATCTTTGAAGCGCCGAAAGTGAAGCTCCATAGAAATGGGCGGGGCCGTGCTCCGTGCGTCCCCACTCTGCCTCTTTCCCCAAGGCTCGTCCCTCGCTCTGCCTCTTCTCACACTCACTCTGCCTCTTCCCCCGAGGCCTCCCCTGTCCGCTGCTCACTCCTTTCCTCCCTTCCCCCCCCCATCACTCACCTAAGGCAGGAAAAAGTGATGGGGCCATGGCCCCATGGTGGGCCCCCCCCCGTTCTTGGGAGGGGGCAGACAGAGAGAAGCGAGCGGTGGATGGGGGGGACCTTGGGGTAGAGGGAGGAGAGGAGCAAGTGGAGGGCGGACAGGGCCTTGGGGGAGGAGGTGGAGAGGAGTGAGCAGCGGGCGGGTGGGGTTTTGGGGGAGGGGGCAGGAAGAAGCGGTGCAAGGGTGAGGCCTTGGGAGAAGAGGTGGGGTGGGGCTTCTAGGTTGCTTCGGCGCTTGCATATGAGCCTCCCCAAACGGAGGACATGTGCTGCCTATGTCTGGGCCTGTCCCCAAGTGGCCTTACCCACCAACTGTGGGGGCCAGTGTGAAGGCTCATTGGGTGCGTAGGGATCCTTGCTGCACAGCCAGCCAATCCTTGTGTTGGCCATCCCACCAGGACAAATATCACCCTTTGTAAGGAAGTAACCAATCGCTGATATTCCCCTTTCACTAAACTGGCGGATGCGCCATCAGTAGTAAAGGAAGTCCTATTACTGTGTAGGACATTTGCAGTAAACCTATTAGCACTCAGGTAATCCAAAAGATCTAATGAAATCTCTGCAGCTGTATTTCTGTTGAAGAAAGTAGAACTGGAGATTCTCCTCCACTGCTTTGAGGCACATAGTCAGGACTGATCATTTGCTTGCTGGCTTCCCTATTGCTATTCATTCCCTGTTACTGAGATTTTTGCCAATTTCTCTTGAATGCTTGAGATTTTCTTCTTTTCATTTCTGCTAAAATCTGACTCCTACCAGCGCACATTCCCTGACTAATGTACTCATCCGATATGGCTATGTCCAAATCAGTCTTTGTTCAGCAAAAATTCCCCCATGTTGCTAATACCAGTACACCTCCACTAGTGTCAGCAATACTGGGAGTGGAAGACAAGGCTCCAGACAGCTGCTGGCACTTTATCTACTGTGACTTCTAAACTTGCTCAGAGCAAATCTACCCAAAACAGTGGTTAAAACCCTGGCAGCTGCTATCTTTGCTCGTGCTCTCACTGTTGCTACCGCTAGTGGAGCCATAGGCGCCAGCTTCCTCTGGGCCCGGGGGGTGCTCAACCCCTTGCTCCGCCCCAGGCCCCACCCAATTGCTTCCCCCAAGCCCCCATCTCCATCCCGCCTCTTCCTGCCCCCAGGCCCGCCCCCACCCTGTCCCCAAGTCCTCATCCGAGCCCCACGTCTTCCCACCCAGTTCCGCCCCCTCCCCTGAGCATGCCACGTCCCCTCCCTCCCAGAGCCTCCTGCTTGCCGTGAAACAGCTGATCCCAGCAGGCGGGAGGCACTGGGGGGAGGGGTAGGAGGGAACTGGCTGCTGGTGGGTGCTAAGAACCCGCTACTTTTTTTTCCATGGATGCTCCAGGGCTGGAGCACCCACAGAGTCAGCACCTATGAGTGGAGCGGTACTAGTTTTAGCAATAATGGAATTTTTTTCTGAAAAAAGGCTAATGTAGACATTGTCTATGTAAAATCCACTGAGTTACCGTACATAAAAGGTCAGCAAGGAACTTCTGGCAGGAATCTCACCATGAGGGTCCTTTGACTTTGAAATTGACTCCCTACAACCCTTGGCAGAAATAATCCATCTTGTTTTGCCTTTAGGGCACACAGCAAAATTCATTTATATGGCTAGAAGGAGGGTTGAGTCTTGTAAGGCAAATGAGGGAGTCTGGATTTTTATCTGAAGGGGATAAGGTTTTTTGGCAGCCAAAGTAGGGAAATTTCATTTTGTGGATTTTTTTTTTAAATGTAGAGGAAAGTTGGTGGTGAGACTACTAGTATGGTATCACTGGTTCGAATGAAGATGGAAACCTACATTGTGATGTCAGTTTTTGGTTTTTAATTTTCTTTCAGTCAGCTGGGAGTCTGAGACTATTGTTATTTATTTTACAACAGTATCAGTCAATACTTGGAATCCCAACCATGTTAGGTGCTGTACAGCACGAATTAAAAAAAAAAAGACAGTCCTTGCCCCAGAGCTCACAATTTAAGATTATGACAAGTTGGCACAGATGAAAGAAACAGACAGAGGATGGGTTGTGGGGTTGGAGGATAAGGTAAAGGTGAAACAAACACATTTTGCTAATAAGCTGTAGCCTCATCTTGTCACCTGCCTACATCATTTCTAAAGACTTAATCATACCAGCACACCAATTACTCATCTTTTCTTTCTTCTTTAAAATGAAATACGATCGTAAAATATTTTTGCAAAATATTTTTCATGAGACAACTTTCATGGCTTTTTATCTTCTCTTACAGCTTAGTTGTAAGTAATGATGATGTGTGGAGAGACCAGTTTTACAATGGAAGTGTTAAAAAAGAAAGAGGTAATCAATGCATTTAAAATATCCTCCAGTGATTTTTTACGTTGTGTACTTGGAAAGTGTACTATATTTTTAGAACGAAAATATGCACCAAATCATCTCATTTCCAGAAAGTCCTTATTTAGATACTGTACTTCCTCCTGAGAAAATCAGCCCCCAAATGTTTCTTAATTTAAAATTCCTGTGGTCAAGGCTGCTGTTGGTGTGGCATACCTGACCTGCGTGTGTATCTTCTCTTTCAAAATTTGACCACAACAACCACAGCAAAAGAGATAAAGGGGGAATTTTGATAGAGCTCCCCTCCAGCAGTGTCCTCTTTTTGGGAACCTGAAATATGGTAACCTTAGTCTTAACTTAATTATTGCTACAAAATACTTGCTCTCTGAGGTAGGGAGAGGGCAGAAAAGATGTTAAAGGGAGAAGCTGAAATTGCTTATGATTTTTATGCCAAATAAAAGTGGATGTGTTGGAGGAAAAGGGTGTGGGGACAGGGCAGGAATGGAAGGGGAAGCAACAGGGTTGTTTCAGTATCTTCCCCTGGAAAAGGTTTAGAAGAGGGGGAAAGGAGTCCAGAAGACCTGGCTTTATTTTAAAGAATCCTTATTGAGGTTGCAGGAACAAACCATCCTGATGTGTAGAAAGAATAGTAAATATGGCAGGCAACCAGCTTGACTTAACGGTGAAATCCTTGCTGATCTTAAACACAAAAAGAAGCTTACAAGAAGTGGAAGATTGGACAAATGACCAGGGAGGAGTATAAAAATATTGTTCAGGCATGCAGGAGTGAAATCAGGAAGGCCAAATCACACTTGGAGTTGCAGCTAGCAAGGGATGTGAAGGGTAACAAGAAGGGTTTCTAGAGGTATGTTAGCAACAAGAAAAAGGTCAGGGAAAGTGTGGGACCCTTACTGAATGGAGGAGGCAACCTAGTGACAGATGATGTGGAAAAAGCTGAAGTACTCAGTGCTTTTTTTGCCTCAGTCTTCACAGACAAGGTCAGCTCCCACACTGCTGTCCTGGGCAACACAATATGGGGAGGAGGTGAGCAGTCCTCAGTGTGAAAGAACAGGTTAAGGACTGTTTAGAAAAGCTGGACATGCACAAGTCCATGGGTCCAGATCTAATGCATCCGAAGATGCTGAGAGAATTGGCTGAGGTGATTGCAGAGCCATTATCTTTGAAAACTCGTGGCGATCGGGGAGGTCCAGGATGATTGGAGAAAGGCAAATATAGTGCCCATCTTTAAAAAAGGGAAGGAGGAGGATCTGGGGAACTACAGGCCAGTCAGCCTCACCTCAGTTCCTGGAAAAATCATGGAGCTGGTCCTCAAGGAATCAATTTTGAAGCACTTCGAGGAGAGGAAAGTGATCAGGAACAGTCAGCATGGATTCACCAAGAGCAAGTCATGCCTGACTAACCTAATTGCCTTCTGTGATGAGATAACTGGCTCTGTGGATGATGGGAAAGCAGTGGACGTGTTATTCCTTGACTTTAGCAAAGCTTTTGATACGGTATCCCAAGTATTCTTGCCAGCAAGTTAAAGAAGTATGGGCTGGACGAATGGACTATAAGGTGGATAGAAAACTGGCTAGATCATCGGCTCAACGGTAATGATCAATGGCTCGATGTCTAGTTGGCAGCTGGTATCAAGCGGAGTGCCCCAAGGGTCGGTCCTGGGGCCGGTTATGTTCAATATCTTCATTAATGATCTGGAGGATGGTGTGGATTGCACCCTCGGCAAGTTTGCAGATGACACTAAACTAGGAGGAGTGGTAGATATGCTGGAGGGTAGTGTGGAAGAAACTAACTCCACTCTCAAGTTGGAAGCAACAAAATCAGAGACAGCTTTATTCAGGACATGCAATTGCAAGGGAAGAACACAGCTGACAGAGAGCATCTCTGCCTCAGTTTCCCCAAAGTACTCTATTGCTTTTTACAGATTCAGACTAACACGGCTACCCCTCTGATACTGAGGAGGAAGGAATCTCCTTCCTTAGAGGTTTTTAAGGTCAGGCTTGACAAAGCCCTGGCTGGAATGATTTAGTTGGAGATTGGTCCTGCTTTGACCAGGGGGTTGAACTAGATGACCTCCTGAAGTCCCTTCGAACCCTGATATTCTATGATTCTAAGAGGCATGCAACTTGCAATAGATTAACGGAAAAATCTGGAACATAGCAATGCCCAGAGAAGACTTTTCTCTTTCCCCCCTTTATTCTTTTAGTATGTTTGTCTTATTTCTCTGCTTTAAGTTAGTTGATTAGGGCCCTCCATAACAATCCTGCTATATTCCTCTGTTTGAATTAGCATTGTGTGACCAGTGATGCTATTTCTGACTGGATGCTTTTTCTTGAACCTTTAATTTGTGTGCTTCTAGGCTTAAATTTTCAAAAGTGAATAGGGACCCAAAACCACTAATCACTTTTGAAATTTAGGCCCTTCACTCCCTCTCTTTCATTTCTTTTGTCTCTTCCATTTTCCTCTTCATTGTTTGCTTCTTACTCATTTTTCCCTTTTTCTTCTTGGAATTAAATGCACAATTTTTTATATCATATAAGCTCCTGTTCCTTTTTAAATGGGTTTATATGTGTCAGTCATTTTCAAGCAAATTAAACAGTGTTAAAATATTTGTGCAGGATTTAATGTACACACACTCATTTGATTTTTAGTTGTTTTATCTGTTTATTTATAAAAATGCATGTGTATGTTTGTGTATATATACAAACATACACATGCATTGCTTTTTACATATATATATATACACACACATACATGCATATTTCTGTGTGTGTACATATATATTCTTGTTGCTGCATTGGTTATCTTAACTTGCTGATACTCTATTTAAATTTAACATATATGTTTATGTTTAAGGTGCAATAGTCCTGCGTGTTGCCAAATCGTGGTTTCGTATAGGTTCCTTGGAAATTTTAGCTCATTCTGGGGAACTGGACTTGCAAAGGTTAGAATGAAATCTTCATAGTAATATCAATAAAACCTATTCAAACATGTATGTACAGTAGTAATTTAGGAAGATCACTTATTGGACTGATTCACCTGATTTTGCTATTTATTTATAAGGAAAGAAATACTAATAAAGATTCAAATGCCAGATATTCATGATAAGGGCTGCATTTAGCTGTTTGGCCTTGACCTTGCAAAAACATTCTCACGGGCTTAAATTTATATGCAAGTAGTCCCATTAACTAAGCAATTGTATACGTTTTTTTAGGATCAGGGCTGCAGTATGTAAAAGTTTTCATAGAGGCCTGTGTGTGCTACTGTAATATAAATATGAAATATAACAATAACAGAAGTACGTTCTGCAATATGTGTTTTCCAGCAGCATGCAGGATTAAAAGGGAATAATATATGTGGGTAACAAACTATTGCAGAACTATTATAGGCTTTTTAACAATACTATAGTTTTCTCATCATTAAAATATGTTGTCCCTTAAGCAGTTTTGTTGCTCAGTTTGAGAGAGCTGTTCTGTGATCTTTAATCAAGTAAGATTCCTCGGATCTTCCTCCTTTGAATCTATAGACTGATTGCTAATCACCTACAGTAGGGACTCATGCAGGTAGTGCTCAAAGAAGAAATAGCAGTTACTTACCATAGTAAGCAGTTGTTAAGATGATTGCCTGCCTGGATCCATGCTTCCTGCCCTCTGTCCCCTTTATTTTGAAATCTTACAGCAGATTTTTAATTTGTGGAAGGAACTGAATTATGGTTGAAGCTGTGCTATATAGGATTTTAGGGCTGGTCCACACTAACCCCCCAGTTCGAACTAAGATATGCAACTTCAGCTACGTGAATAATGTAGCTGAAGTCGAAGTACCTTAGTTCGAACTATAAAGTACTTACCGCGGGTCCACACGTGGCAGGCAGGCTCCTCCGTCAACTCCGTGTACTCCTCTCGTGGAGCAGGAGTACCGGCGTCGACGGCGAGCACTTCCGGGATCGATTTATCGCGTCTAGACAAGACGCGATAAATCGATCCCAGAAGATTGATTGCTTACTGCCGAACCTGGAGGTAAGTATAGATGTACCCTTAGTTTATATGTGTACAGTCCCAGTCAGTAGTTTCTGAGAAAGTTCCAAGCTAAGGCAACTAGGACCTGCATGTCACTTGCTGTCAGGACCCATATAGGCAGTTCTTGGAGAACCGTATTATACTGTGGTAAATAGCTGTTTTTTTATAAGGGTTTATAATTCAGCCATAAAAATGTTCTGTGTGGAGAAACTTGACTCAGAACTTTGCCTGGTAGTGATTTTTTTCTTATAACCAAACCAGTTTGTCAGAAAATGTTATACAGGCATGTAAACAAATATTGTGCTCTAGTCAGAGAATTTAATACTTGGAGTTGTTTTAACATAACGTGACTGCTTCTAATCATGTTCTATGTGTGAAATATTAAGTTTTATTGCTAACGGATTCCATTAGGGTCTTATCCATTTCAGTTAATGGGTATTTCTTTATTGACTACACTGGGCTTTGATCAGCCCTTTAATGTGGAGAATAAGAATGATTAGTCACCTCTTTGGCACATCAGTCCTAAAAATACTGGTTTTGCTTAAAGAACTCTTGATTCTTTTTTTCAGGACACTGCTAGACTTTGTCATACAAGAACATTTTCCATCAGTAAATATGAATGATTCAAATAGATATTTGGTGAGTATGAGAGAGACTTTCACTTTGCATGCATATTGTCAACAAAACATCATTTGTATTAACAATATAAAAATAAATTTAAAATGTTGCAAATATCACTGAAGTGGACTTGCAGTTTTTAATCAAACAGATGTTTGCAAATATTATTCTTCAATATTCTCACAGTTCTCCCTTCAAGTATGAAGATTGTCTTTTCCTGCCCTGTTACTTTACACAAACATTTTCATTTTGAAAACAACGAGGAGTCCAATGGACCTTAAAGACTAACAGATTTATTTGGGCATAAGCTTTTGTGGGTAAAAAGCCCACTTCTTCAGATGCATGGAGTGAAAATTACAGCTACAGGCAAAAATATATATTGGGCACATGAAGAGAAGGGAGTTATCTTACAAGTGGAGAACCAATGTTGAAGGCCAATTCAGTCAGGGTGGATGTGGTCCACTCCCAATAATTGATGAGGGGGTGTCAATACCAAGAGAGGGAAAATTGCTTTTGGGCCAGCGATTCCCAGTCCCTATTCAAGCCCAAATTGATGGTGTTAAGTTTGCAAATGAATTGTAGCTCTACAGTTTCTCTTTGAAGTCTGTTTTGAATTTTTTTGTTGAAGAATGGCTACTTTTAAATCTGTTATTGAATGACCAGGGAGATTGAAGTGTTCTCCTACTGGCTTTTGTATGTTACCATTCCTTATGTCCATTTATCCTTTTACGTGGAGACTGGCCAAACCGGACAATGTACATGGCAGAGGGGCATTGCTGGCATATGATGGCATATATCACATTAGTAGCTGTTCAAGAAATTGTTGAAATCCAGGTGGAATCCCGTGGGTCCATATGATGAAGATGTCATCAATGTAGCATAAGTAGAGGAGGGGCGTGAGGGACGAGAGCTGAGGAAATGTTGTCCTAAGTTAGCCATAAAAATGTTGGCATACTGTGGGGCCATGAGAGGCAGGCCAATCCTTGCTTACAGACAGCCCCCCAACCTGAAGCAAATGCCAAAAGCAAACTACACACCACACCACAGAAACAATAACTCAGGAACCAACCCCTGTAACAAACCCCATTGCCTTCTCTGTCCCCATATCTACTCTAGCGACACCATCATAGGACCCAACCACACCAGCCACACCATTAGGGGCTCATTCGCCTGCACATCTACTAATGTGATATATGCCATCATGTGCCAGGAATGCTTCTCTGCCATGTACATGTACCGCTTGTAAGGTAACTCCCTTCTCTTCACGTGCCAATATATATTTATGCCTGTATCTGTAATTTTCACTCCATGCATCTGAAAAAGTGGGCTTTTTACCCACAAAAGTTTATGCCCAAATAAATCGGTTAGTCTTTAAGGTGCCACTGGACTCCTTGATGTTTTTGTGGATATAGACTAACATGGCTACCCCTCTGATATTTATTACGGTAATATCCCATTCTCCATTAATGTTTGTTCCCCTTAGGCCCTTCGTATACTAATCATAGACTAGTGATGGAGTGCAGGATCATGCTGTACCCTAAATAAATGCAATATCATTACTATAACACTTTCGTTTTAGCATTATTGCAATTGCAGCTGAATTTGTGCATTGTCACACAGCTCTGGGTGTTCTTGGATAAGATCATCATGCAGCCAACTCATTGAGAGTGCCATGTAAAAGTTCTGACAGGCATAAAAAAGATGTGCCCAAATATTAAAAAGAAAACAGTATAATGTGCCAACTGTTATTTTTAAATAAATTATATATTTGATAACATACTGTTTATTCGTATTTATTAATGAAAGGGTTTGAAGTGAAAAATGTATTTGATTTCAGGACTTTTTCTCTAGAGTGGTATTGGAGACTGCAAATCTGATTGCATTGTGGATGTCAGTGGGATTTGCTCATGGTAAGCAATGATAGCTCAATTAAATTATTGGTGTGGTAATTGTAAAATATTAAGGTCTGTTAAAAGTCCCTTTACCCGTAATAAACTCAAAGCCTTTTGGTTTTGGTATTTGTTTTGTTTAAATTCCCTAGAATGTATCAGTGTTTGTTAAAAAAAAATTAAAAAACGAGTTAAAAACGGTGCAAAAAACTAACGTCACAGTTTTTTGGGTAATTATCAGGGTTAATATTGGGGGGGACAGGAGGATGGAAAATAGCAACAAGTAGAGAAAAGTAAGAGTATTGAAAGTTTAAAATAGTTTAATGCTGTGGTTTATTTCATGAATTGTATATTAACAGTACGTAGGTATATGCACATGTGTGCATGCGTCCGTGTGTGTATCTTCCAGGACATTGCCTTACGTTAACAGACAGCCCCACACTTACACTTAGATTAATTTATTATTAGCATTAACACATTTATCTAATATAATGTATTGGATTTTCTTAAGATAATTAGTATTTTCATGTACTTGAAGGGTTCAAAGTTCAGGTGAAAATCAGTAAAAAACAAAAAAAATTAGCTTTTGTAAAACCTGGGGATTTTTTGATAGAGATCGGTAAAAATCAAAAATGAAGGTCCTTACATATACTTAATAATGGCTTTTGCTTCGTCATGTTTAATTCTTCTCTTTTTGTCCTTTATTTCAAACTTTTTGGCATTTTTGCCTACAACAATACCCCTGTTATTGTTTAGCACTTCTGCAAGTTTTCTCTGACACAGTCAAGAGATGTTTTGATTTTCAAAGTGCAGACAGATTATGAAGAGGCAAAAGACTGGCATAGTACATGGGCTTCTCAAAAAATTCTTTAAGAAGGGTTGCTGGTTAGTGGCAAAGAACACAGTTGTATCAATATTACTTATTTCGGTCAGTCTACTGGATTTTTTTTAAAGTGAACACTTTAGATGATACAATACAGTGGTTGTTTTTGAAAGACAGTTGCACTGACGTAGCACTAGTGCATATAATAGTGTTTTGTAATATATGCAAAGACCACATGTTGGTGTCATGTAATTGGCATGAGTTTGTGATGCCTTCATTAGATCCTATCTTATATAGTCAGATAGTGCAGTGGTGGGGCCATATCAGTACCTAAATTCACTGATACATGAATTTATTGGTACAGCATCATGGGAATACTTGTTTATTTGGAAAACCACTGTACTATCAATGTGCTATGAAACTTTGTTTCAGAATTATACCCCATAAGGAGAATCAGCATGATATTGCTAATATAGCACACACACAACTCACAAGGAAAGGAAAATAATTGATCAAATGTACATGAGGTAGTCATAGTTCCTCAATGTTGCCACTGAAAGTAAAAGAAGACAGTGCCATATAGGCATAGAAACCAGATGAGATATCACAGAGACATCAGATGTTTTCAGTTTTGATATATAAAATGCCTGCAATGTTGGGAACAAGGGATTTAGCTTAAAATCCAGACTCTCATCTGCTGGGCCCAACTTTAGATATTGTAATTTAGATCCACCGTAATCTAGGCTTTTCAGCAAATTTTCTGCTTTTGATAAATCAGCGGTGTCTAGACTAAACAACTTTATTGTTTTGATAGTTGTATTTTTGTTGTTGATTAATTCTAGGTGTGTGCAATACAGATAACTTCAGTTTGTTATCCATAACAATAGATTATGGTCCATTTGGTTTTATGGAGTCCTATGATCCAAGTGAGTATAGCACATGTATTTGAATATACCTTTTGTGTTGGACATGAAATTCCTTCTTATTGTGTTAAGTTATATAATTTTTGTTTGCTCAGAAAGTTATTAACATTATTAGCACATGGATTCTGCATATGTGTACTGCATGTACATTGGTCAGAAAATAAATTTTGTGCATCTAGTTGCATTTTAGATCAGAGAGTAGTCTTACTGTGTATTATACAAATTATATTTTAAACTGTACACTAAAAAACTTGCAGATAATGTATATTACTACTAAACCCATTTCCATGAAGAATCTCTCATACTGACATTCATCAGATTCCCAGATGCTATAGCAGAAATCAAGAAAAATCTGTAAAAATCGAATACAGCTAAAAGTAGCCAAAAGCAAAATCTGTCATCTTTTATCATTTTGACTTTACAGTCATAACTGTTAATCCGGGGGCGGGGGGAGGGAGTCAAATCTGCCCAGTTATGACACTCTACTGTAAATCTTTCATTGAAAGCATGAATTACATTACTCTCTCAATCTGTAATAAATAGACATAGGTCCAGAAGATGGTGTTCAGATGTACATTACATTTAGGCTGGGGTTTGGAAGTCAAATCATGGCTGGGGGTCAGGCTCAACGGTGTTGAAATCTCACTGTCTATTTTCATAAGATTTCAGGCTCAAATGATGAAAATCTCCTGAAATCTGATCTTGTACACCTTGGGCATATCTCAGCTGGAACCTTAAAAGAGGCTCTTCTAGTTTTCTTTCTTTCCCTGAAGCCAAGCCAGAGGAGTGGATGTAGATCTGGGGATTCAGGTTTGAACATGTGCCTCAGCTCCCAAAATTCACAGTTATGTAGGTGGGCTGGGGAGGAGAATGGGGTTGCATTTGAAGTAGTGTTTTGGGCCCACCTCTAGTAACAATGAATCAAACAAAGTAGAATTCCTATTTGACACCAACTCTGAGATGCTGTTCCTAGTCACAGTCCTTGTTTCCTTCTGAGTGCCGGGGCTGATCCCCATTAGTATTGCTTCTGGTAGTAGCTTCCTCAGAGAGTACAAAGGAGGATCCAGGACGGCAGCCTTTCCCCTCATAGACACCGACCAGCAGAGCTGGCCCTGTTCTGGACAAGACGTGCATGCTGTATCCTTTCTGAGGTTGATGCTGTGGCTATGTTTACCCTTTGCTCCTGGATGCATTATGCCTTTCATTAAGGGTATGCATTTGCCTATTCGCCACTCCTCAAAGTGGACTTTCTTGTGCTGGAACATTTTAGCCCTAAATATTTCAGAAGCAAATATATAATTATATACATTTTGAAATAATCTTTATGTTCAGATAATTAGTGTCACTAGGCTACTTAAAAATATATGCATCTCATTTACTTAGATTACATCTTAAAATATATTGTTGTTTGGAAGACTGGAATCCCTAGGCATCTAACCATATGATATTTAATAGTAGCATTATTTATATTAAAGAATACTGAAAAACATTATTCAGAGTGTAAAAAAAAATGGCTGTTTAAATATCTGAATTTATTCTGTGTCTTGAAGTAGGAAAACAACACTTGTAACCATCTGGGAACTTGTGCTCTAAGAATGTTTTCCTTACTCTGGCAAATGTTAGATCTCAGGCTAATCCAGTGTAAATAAATATTCTTGTGTTTGGAGTACTCTGAGTTAATATTTAGTGCTTGCAGGACTGCTATTAGTTTGCTGTGTAAATATGAAAAATTAGCCTAGTTTAATATTTTAACTTTGGTTGTTTATTCTAATTAATCTGTTGTAGAAATGTGATGTTTTGTTTCAAACAGATTTTGTTCCAAACACATCTGATGATGAAAGGAGGTATAAAATAGGAAACCAAGCAAATGTTGGGATGTTTAATCTGAACAAGCTGTTACAAGCTCTAAAACCTGTATTGGATCGCAGACAAAAGCAGCTGTAAGTTATCCTTAAAAATATCTTCACACTTAAAAGAACTAGAGAGAGATGCTATAATGGCCATATGTGTAGGAGAAAAGGGGGCTATCTTTTTAGGAAGTTTGATTTCTAAACAGAAAGTATTTTCTGGATATGTTACAGGCCAAACAAGACTGTTTTTAAAACAAATAAAAAAAATACCAAAATGGGGTAAGAGGGAAGTTTTTCATAAATAGGTACAAGCCAGAGGAAGGTTTCACACTTGAATGTGAAGCTGAATTGTGTCTTTGGTATTACTGTTGGTCAATAGGATTTGATATTTCCTTACTTTTACAGTGCTTTCCAGATTCTGGAGGGATACTCTGAGCATTATTATACCCGGTATGTACTTCCATAACTCAGATTTTAAAGAAGCATATACGATAGAATATGTTTTCGGAACAATTTCTTTGCCTTCATAATTTCTGTTACTACTTTCAGTTTTACAGAACTATTTAGAGCAAAATTGGGTCTCCTTGGGGAGAGTGAGGATGATAACTATTTGATTGCATTTCTCCTAAAAGTGAGTTTATTATTGGTCATTCTTTTGGGGATATTTGAACTGATGTCTAATATTTTAAAAACACTGATAGAAATGTATTTAATTTCATTAGCTCATGGAAGATACAAAGGCTGATTTTACAATGGCATTTCGGCAGCTCAGTGAGATTACTCAAGACCAGCTAAAAGAGCTCCGTATTCCTCAGGTATTAATTAATACATGATATTTTAGGAACATCTTACTGGCCTTTGAGCTCACCTAGGTAACTATGGAATGAATAAGTGAGTAATTAAGGGTACATAGTGAAAACTGCATGCATCAAATTTTCAGTTACAGGCATAACATGGACACTAACAGAACTATATCCGCACACAACTTCACTTGCATGAATGCCTGCATACATCAGGTATGTCTTCTGAGCACCTTCAGCCACATTAGATGAAAGGATTGCTAAGAGAACTCCATCTCCTAACATGTTTTATTGCTTTTAAGTGTATATGTTTAAACAGCAGAAATATTAATGGGGAAAAAACTACTTTTGTTAGTATAGAGATATCTAAAAGCAGTTCTTCATAAAGCATATATGGTATCTTCAAAGTTTACATTCTACAGCCTTTACAGATAAGGACCCCACATCTGCCAACTTTATATTTCTTCTTCGAGCAGTGTCCGCTTCAGGTGAGCTCATGCCCTTGCGCCTTTAATCAGATTTTTGGTAGTAATGCCCATTTGGCCCATGCATGTGACCTACGCTTCCTTGGGCCCCGACTTACGCAAGGCGTTCTGGAACGGAACGCTTGTGTAACTCGAATTTTGCGTAAGTCGGGAACGTATACCCGACCATTACGCACAAAAACAAACAAACAAACTTTCTAGCTTACGGAATTTACGAAACTTTTTCCGTAAGTGCGGATTTGTGTAAGTCGGGTTTGTGTAACCTGGGGAGCGTTTGTATAGGGCTGCATGGATGAACTGGCCCAGTTCCTTCTCAACCTCCTGGGCCTAACACAGAGCATTAGTGTGCCTTACTTTTGAAGTTTCTGAGCCTGGTTACCCTTCTTTAGTTTATTGTTTTTTCTTTAGTTATTTTATTTACTTTTTATTTAGGGGGACTTTCTCTTGATCCCTTTTCCCTTTGGGGAGGGAAAACTTCCCATATTAAATTCCTTTGCCCTGGGGTATGTCAGGCTTTCCAGTCTTCAAGCAGTGCATCTCTTACCGGGAGGCCATTCCATTCAGTGACTGGCATTCCCGTTGTCTCTGTTGCTTGGGGGTGTCTCGTATCCCGCATAAGTGCTCCATCTGCTCAACTTTTAAGGGCAGGGCAAGAAAACATTGAGAGCTAAAACTGAGAATCTTAATGATGGAGCATTCCCTCCAACTGGCCTCAGATCCAGGTCAGGAGACCCCCCGGATGTCAGTCACTTAATTAACACAGTGCCCTGTCAACTTTGACATGTTTACCTGAGGTGGATCCACAGAGAAGACCCATAGAAAACAAAGTCATTCTCCACAGAAAGAGTCCACTTCAAAAAGACCTAAGTCTCCACAGAGCAAGACTTCTGCGGAGACCTTGCGTCCCACCTTGGGTATGGCTGAGGCGTCAGATGCTCTCGGAATAGATCCTGTGCCTCAGGCGCCAAGCTCAGCAGAAGAAAAGCATGCTTCATCGAAGCAGTCCAAGGCTCAGAAAACGGTACCCGCAACTTCTTTGATAAAGTCTATATCTAAGTTGGCCACTAAGATGGCGTCAGTACCGGGAAGACACCATGCCTCTTATCCAGTCTCTGCACTCCCCAAGCCATCTTCATCAGTACCATGTATTTCAACTAGAGTGGACTTGCCAGAACAGCCTAGACCCTCAGTACCAACAATGGAATGGCGCCCCACTCTTCAAACCAACCCGGTATCATAGGAGTTCAGATTCTCAAGGGATCTATTTGTTTTGGAGAGACCGGAGTCTCCCTTATTGATCGGTACCAGGAGGTTATCAGTACCAAGAAAAGCACAGTCACTGAGATGCGACCTTTCCCCAGTACCGCTTGACTCGCCAACATCTTCAGAGACTACCGGAGCTCCCCTTCTTGAAGAGGAGGAATTTTCCTTCAATTTGAATATTTTGCTCCAGGGATTTCCATCCTGACACTTCTGATAAGAGAGTTGCATCAAAGGCCCGTGTATCCCAGACCTTGTTCAAGCACAAGTGGTTGCCACCCCGTCAAGGCTGATTCCCCACTCTGGCACTTCGAGTGCAGAAGGTGGGGGCCTGCAAGGACTCTAAAAATTAATACTTGCCACTCCAGGCTTGTATTAAACTCCCAAGGTTGCAACTTCTATCTGACCTTGGATTGATAGATGCTGACACCACCCAAGTGCAGAACCTCTTTGAGAGACCAGGAAGGCTCACTTGGGAATTCCTTCCTGTGGGGTACCCTCAAGCCCTTTCAAACCCCCCGCCTCCCGGGAAGAGATGAAAAAAAGAACAACAAAAAGGAAATTAGGTGTTGCCACCAGCTAATTAAACAACATGTGCAAACCTCTTAAGACACACAAATCTTAAAAAAGGTCAATTTGATTTAAAAAAAAAAGGAAGGAAAATATATCAGGGAACTCAGCTATTGCTAGATTTTAAAAGAGCAATTACAAGGATTAAGCACCAAGAATAGTTTTTGTTGAGGTCCAGCTTAAAGGTTACAAGCAAAACAAAAGCACCAGGGTTAGCACAGCGGAATCCACAAGCCATAAAGAAATAAATGGATAAACCTAATCGCGTCTTCCTAGACGTTTCCTGATCTACTTACATATCTGGGGTTTCAAATGTGTAGTTTCTAGGTATGATACTGATGATTTTTCATACCTGGCCCCAAGCTTTTTACAGCATCGCTGCTCTGTCCCCCTCTTCCCAGGAGAACAACCACAGACAGACAAAGGAAAAGTTTTTTTTTCCCAATTTTAAAAAGTTCAGGCCTTCCCATTGGGTCTTTTGGTCAGGTGCCCACTCACTTCCTTTTATCTATGCATAACAATGAGACTTTTTAAATCTTTACCAGGTAAAGCAAGTAGAGAACAGCTACTAAGAGGGATTTTATAGCTAACTGGCTGGCTGGGTGTCCTTAAAAGGGAGTTACCGCCCCCCCCCCTTCATTTATCACAACCCCCGATGCCTTTTGGTCCTTCTCAGAGGCCTACTGGGATCCATCAGCAGTTTTACCATGCCCCTAGTCACTCTTTCAGGAAATACAGGGGAGAAGCTCCTGTACTCCAACTTCTCCTCCTCTCTTACCTCAGGCACCTTTGAGGGGCAGGAGGCCAGGGCAGATAAAGAGGTCACTCCCCAAACAAACATTTCTTCATCTTCCCCAGGTGAAGCTGTTATACCTCCCACATTGGCTGTGGCTGACAACTTTGGACACTTCTAAAAGTTAATGAAGTGCATTGCAGATTCCCTCCAGATCAGGGAGTCACAACATAAGCTCCTGGACATCCTCCAATGGACTCCCTCTACCTGAGTTGACCTGCCTACTAATGAGGCTCAGTTGGATCCTACCAAATCCATCTGGGAGTCCCCTGCGATGATTCTGCTGAAGTGCAAATGGGCCTATAAGAAAATATTACATCCCGGCTAGGGACTCTGAATTTCTGTTCACCCATCCAACACCAAAGTCCTTGGTTGTGGAGGCAGTAAATGAACATGGCAGACAATGTTATGCGAAGGCCACGCGATAAGGACCAAAAATGCTTTGATCTATTCAGCAGTAAGATCTATTCATCCATGACTCTTCAGTTTAGGATCGTGAACTATCAAGCTCTCATGGCTAAATAAAATCACTCAAATTGTGCCAAATTCACCACCTTTATTGAGCATCTGCTGGATGATCAACATGACCAGTTTCAAGCTATTGTTAATGAGGGTCATCTGTTAGCTAGAACGTCACTACAGGCCTTTTTGGATGCAGCCAATACTGCCGCTCAGTCCATCTCTGCAGAGGACTTCCTGACTCTAGCTGTCTGGATTCCCAAGGGAGGTCCAAATCATGGTTGAAGACCTCTCTTCGATGGCCTCAAACTGTTTGCTGAGTCCACTGATGATTCACTATGTACCTTTAAGGATTCCAGAACCACATTAAGCTCCTTTGGGATTTACACGCCTACAAACAAATGAAAATTTAGTAGATCCCAAACTGCACAAAGATCCCTTCCCACTTCATTCTCAGGTTTGCAGAGACCGTATCAACACCCAGGAAAAAGTCAAGGTTCCAGAGGAAGAGATCACCTGCTCCTTCTGCACCATCATTATCATCTGAGCATCAGTTTTGATGGACTGGTCAAGGGCCCGGAACTATCTCTCATTATCAAGCTACACATACACCATTTTACCCATCTTCCACTCTTTGGAAATTGTTTCTCCCATTTTCTTTCTGCATGGGAGAGAATCACATCAGACAAAGGGATGCTAGAGGTCATAAGATCAGGATACGCTATCCATTTTACCTCCCTTCCCCATATCTCTTCAGGGACCTCTCTCCTGAGCACCTCTTAAAGCAAGAAGTTAACTCACTTCTGCAAATGGGTGCAATAGAACCACTTCCTATTCTGTACAGAGGGAAGGGGTTTTATTCCAGCTACTTTCTGGTCCCGAAAAAGAACAGACAGTGGAGACCAATTTTAGATCTAATACTCCTAAACAACTTTTGTCAAGTCTCAAAAATTCAGGATGGTGTGACTTACATTTATAATTCAGTGATTACAACTGGGGGATTGATTTTTAGCCCTCAACCTTCAGGATGTCTATTTTCATATCGCAATTCACACATTTCACAAATGATTCCTGTGCTTTTCAGTAGACCAGGATTACTTTCAATATTGAGTGCTCCTGTTTGGCCTTTTGTCTGACCCAAGAGTGTTCTCAGATGTGCTGGCAGCGGTCGCAGCTTATCTTTGACATCCGGGGATAACCATTTTTCCGTGCCTTGACAAATGGCTACTCAAAGGCCAGTCTTACAGTGACGTTTTTGACACAATAAAGAGGATGAGCTCCCTGTTCCATGAGCTAGGGTTGCAGCTCAACATTGAGAAATTCAAGTTGAACCCGGTACAAAGAATAGAGTTCATAAGAGCCTCCTTGGACACTATATCAGCTAAGGCTTATCTTTCCCTCAACGGATTCTTGATGTTAGCAAATCTTGTCTAAAAGGTTCAAATCAG